AAAACATTGTCTTTCTGGGCTAAATACAAACTTAAACATTTTTTAATTCCAATCGTTTGTAAAACTACCTTCCACATACAAATATTGTGCCTCTTGGTGTTGATCTACATAAAACTCCATTAGTAAAGTTTTAACATCTGAGGATAAAACATGGCAAAATGTGAAAAGGCTTCAGGAGGTGTAAACAATACGGTGAGCCACTGTGACTAACTTGTTTGTCAAATAACTGATCACATTTGTGATCAATTTATCCTTTCTACTACTTCTGCAAGTTCAAATAAGTTACATTAAGGGGTTTGTAATATTTTTAGGCAATTTTGTTTAAACTGAAAATCTGTAGGCCTATTAATAAGTGAGACTAATTAAACTAGATAAATTAATGAAATTAGATTAACCTACCACACCCTTCACTTCTTTCGCAATTAACGATACATTGGGTCTACGGGCTGCTAAATCAAAGTTAATGTGCATTTTTTTTACATGTAAATCTTTTTAGCAGGTCTTGTTGTAAAACTGCTCTAGTGCTGCAAAAGTGGTTGAATGGTGGCAATTTATCTGTGGATCACTATATGTTTCATTGAGGCTAAGCTAAGCTAGCCATCTGCCTACTTCAGCCAACTATTTAAATAAATGCTGTAATGTCAAACTTTTTAAAGTGTCCAACCTGGATAAACATTCATTATGTGTTTATTTTTTTAATTTTTTGTTTCTCCTGTTTCTAAGTCAAAAATTAGATGTCTGGTCTTCGAAAAGAAAGGCCCAATGGGAATAATACTTTTAATAATCGTAATCTGACAGTGGATTTGATGAGAATTCAAGTTAATTCAAATTTTAAAACATTTTATTCATCCCAAAGGGAAATTGACATTTTCATTAAAAATAAATAAAGGCATGTTATATGACATTATAAATAATTTGAATTTAAATGTCTGATCTCTTCTCGCTTATGACCTTATTTGAGTTGGAAGATATGATCCAAAAGTTGCAGGACAGGAGTTTGATCTAAACTGGGGTTTCTTAACCCTTGTTTCTCAGGGCTCATTGTCTGGTATTTCATATGTGTTTCTTTGGAACTTCTAGATTGCTGTGAATTTTATTAATGTGTATGAGCACAAAGGGAGTTGAATGTTGACAGATTTTTTTGTTGTAAATATTTTTGAAAAATGACTTTTTTTATCCTACTCTACAATTATGTTCAACTTTGCCGTGCTTTGTCTCATAAAGTTCTATTAAAATATATTTAAGTATTGTGCCAAAATGTGGCAATTAAAGAGCAAGAAATAATTACCTGAGTCCTTTTGGGAGTTTTTGAGACACAGAATAAAGACCGTTAAATGTAAGACTTCTTAAGACAGCAGAAACGCTATTCTTCAAAAAATAAAAATGAAACTAAAGCCTTACTTTTTTAAAGAACATTCTCGTCCATTTTAAAGGTTTATTTTCCGTCAGTTAACCAACTAGGATTTGTGCTGCCATGAGAAATAGCATCATCTTATTTTGGAAACAGCCTCTAATAGGTCTGTAAATATATATATGTGCATATTATTGCATGATATAGTCCTGGTTAAAAAAAAAAGATGAAAAATAGAATAAAATTGTTCTTTCATTGCTGTTACTCCCTGAAACATTTTTGAAAAATCCTATGTGTAATTTTAATATTCAACTAATTTGGTTGGGAAGTGTTTAGAAAAAAAAAAATTCTCTCAATTACTGGTGGCACATTAATGGTATGTAGGTTGAATGGTTTATTTTTTTGTCGGTTCAACAATAATTTTTTGGCATTAGTTTTTTGCTTTGGATGACTGGGTCCATTTGGTTATAAGACACAGAGATGAGTCAAATGTCAGGTTTTTTTCTTTCTCTAAAAACTTTCGAATATTTTAAACTATTCATTGTTGTCAGATTGTCTCACAGGGTCCCCAGGGCCTTCAATGCTAAATGCATGACAGGTCCTCTACCATGCTAAACAGTGAGCATGAGGTAGTTTAAATCATATTCATCCTTTACTTCCTGTGACACTCATTCTTTGCTCAGTTTTATTCTCATTTGATCAATACACACAGGTCCAGTTAAAGTCCCAATAAAGTTAAGCAAACTGCATGGTTAAAGTTTCAATGGGAGGAAAGAAAAAGATTTTTTTTTTCTTGGCTTCACTCCAAAACAACTGGTTGCCATGCTGGCAATGAGCAAAGGTTGTTATTGAGACTGAGTCAACCCAGGACGTCTCTACTTGTTGAAGTAATTTAACAGAAAGATTTGGAGAGATTATTTACCTTCTTTATCATCCTGCTTTCTGTGCATGTTGCAGAATTAATATGGATCCTTATTCAGCCTAGTCTAGGGCTGAAAAGATATGGCATCAAATACCTCATGCAGGAAGCAGATAATTATAGTCGACTAAGCACAGAGACCCTTCGGTGAACTTGGACATTTTAGTATCAGCTAAGAAAATGGTTTAAATTGTTATGGTTCTCATTAGTTGTGTCACACAATATTTTCCTTTTTTTTTAGCTCATCAATTCGTTGTAGTCAAATAAAAGGTTCTTTCCAGTGTGAATTTTCTAACACACAAGGTAAAATTATGTAAGGCCTCTTTTTTATTTTGCATTTTTGCCAGACCAATTAATTTGTCTGCATCTTTTTGTGCACTTGCATGTTCATGTGTTATGTGGGAGTCTCTGTTGTTTCAGACCGCTGTATTATTCTTGGGAGGACTGTTCCTTCCCTCTGGAGGGCCTCCTTTAAGAGTTCTTGCTCTCTGGGAGCCCGGCCAAAGCCCAGCCGAGCGGACCCGTTGGCTGCTGCAGTGTGCAGCCCACTGAAGTCGCGGCCCGGCGTTCGGCACAGCTCCCACAGAGCTGCTCCACACAGCTGGCCAGACTGCTCTCTGGCAGATTTAACTGGTGCTCATCCGGTGGATCAACAGGATCCCTCCTTTCTCAGTCACCCATTCCTGCACACGGTCAGGGTTTCTGAAGTGGACAGCTGTGTACTAAGCAGCCTACACTGGAATAAAAAAAACATCACCTATAAAAATCCCTGTATAGCCTAAATCTTTTTTTACCCTTTTTTTATGATTTAAACAGCTCAGACCTCTGGAAAACCCCAACAGATGTCAACGGGGTGGAGGGTTCAGGCAGGGGTAGATGTCCGCTTTTAGCTTGGACTGTTTAATCGGACGGTTTGTGCTGTGGGCGTGTGAGGGTATGTTGAACTCAGCGATGATGACCTAAAATTGGCCCTAATCGAGTAGACTCATTAGTCCTGTGGCGGTGTTCAAAGTTTCTTTATCCCCCTTCAGTTTACTGTAATCGTCCAAATGGGACGCTGGGATTGGGAGAGCGCTGCAGACAGGAGAGCAAAAGGCAGACTCCCTCTCTCTCCGTCTGCAGGGAGGGAGAGAGAGAGAGCACACAAAAAATAAACAAAGAGAAAGAAAAGAGGGAGAAACAGAGTCGATGCCTGCTTCCTGGCAGCCTCAGCTGCGAGCACATCTGTGTGTGAAGGGTTTGAGCAGACCCCCACGTGTTTGCTCAGGTCGCCTGATTGCCTTTCCTTCCTCTTCTCTCTCCCACTAAAGACCCGATGTCCTTCCTCTCACTCCAGTCGCCCAGGCCAAAAAACGAGAAAAGGGCTACTATGACAGACGCTGGGAGTGGGAAAAACACTGCACTCATGACTCAGTGGTTTTCACATGTGAATTTACACAGAATGGGCAATTTTGGGAACGTCAACTGAAAGCAAACATGGACATTACATACATTAATCCCTTAAATGAAGGGTGTGAATTTGTGGCTTCATGTGCGTAAGCAATGAGGCTATATGCATATGCATGACTGTGTGTGACTCCGGAGCCCTTCGCTGGAGCCTGCTGTCTGGGCGCAGGGGTCCAGCCTGGGGCCTTAGCTCCACAAAGAGCCCTTCTCTTAACAACGAGCCATCACAGATAGAGGAGGAGCCTGACCAAAGCATTACCACGCTTTAGGGATCAGAGAGCTTCTCTTGATGCATCTGATACCGCTTATGATTTTAATGACCAAGTAGTCTTTGAGAAGGGAAACATCAGTGTAGTAGCTGTGTTTATGCCCCAAACAAACATTTTAGGATAACATGTGTGGGTTTGTGAAAGGTCTAACATGGAAACCGAATCTTTATAGGAAATATCTCCCCAAAAAAAAAGAAAATAGAAAAACAGATACAAATACCATGCACAGGCATTTATGCAGCCTTTTGCCATGTTGGTACCACATGCTGTTCTCTTTCAAAAGCAAAGTGGTCAAACCTGTGAAGCTTAAACATATATAAAGTGCTTTAACAAGGAGGTCTCCTTAACATTAAGACATTCAAACACTGATTCACTGATCTACCGGCATTTTAGGATTAAAATACCTTTGATGGAGCCAAACCCACAACTCCAAGACTGAAGGATGAGTACTTTCTCCCCAATCTATTACACCACCTTTACTCTGACACTCCTTACTTAAATCCAGTGCTAACAGTTGCCTTTGGAGGAAATAGGCCTTATAAATAGACTTAATTTGTGTATCTTCGGGACCAGAGGGTTGTAAGAGAATATAAGTGAATAAACAGCACCATAAAGACCAAGGAACACAGTAGGCAGGTCTGTGTAATGTGTTTAAAGCATGGCCAGTTTAAAAAAACATCCTTACCTTTCACTAAAATTGCAAGAAGTAAAACCTAGCAAGCTATCCCCCTAAAATTTGCCATTGTAACACAGCAGGGGTATCAGTTTGAAAGCTCAGTTTGAAGAGACTGTCGACATGGCAACTCAATATCTGACCTTTATTAAAAAAAATGCTATTTTAGATAAAACTCCACTAAATTGCTTTCAAGAAAATTCTAAAGCAATCCAGTGAAATCACAGCTGTTTTAAATAAAACAGGTGCTGATATTAAAAAATATTTTTCTCTTTCTCTATGCTTCTCTCTGCACTCTACAACTTACATCTTGCGGCAGTAAGAACTACCAAGACAGACGTCAACTTCAGTATTAAACTTTATTTTCTCTTCTTTGTGAGATGGAAAAATGATAAAAACGTACAGCTCAGGGACTTTTATTCACCCAAGACAGGTCAGTGTTTTTCTTTACGTAATAACCATGTAATTAAAATCATATGTTTCCATGTGTGTCTGGTGAAAGTTTAACAAGTGAAAATAAATTATCGTAGCAATAATTATAACATCAAATATAACAACAATAATAGCAATTAAGCATTTATAAACATTCTATTTACTGAGTTGTTGGTCTTTTTTTTTCTTTTTCTCAATAAAACAGTTATGAAAAACAGGTGAGCATTGTGGTGCACAATCCAGCATGTGAGGAGAGCTCTGGTTTGTTGGTGCCTTGCAGCAGCTTTAAGCACTGAGGAGTCCACGTGTAATCACGGCAGTTCTGGACGACAGTGCGGGGATGGACAGGGTGCACTTTATCTTTATAAGATCATGAGTTGATAAACAGCGGTTCTTTTTAGGCCCTCTCTGGACTCTCCTTTTACAGGGTCATGGAGAGGTGGGTACCAAAGTGACTTAGTAAAAATAAGCAACAAAGAATGACAAGCTTCTCCATTCACTCATTCCCCTCTCCAGCCCCACTCTCCAGAGGGACAGAGTAGTCGTGGTAGCTCTTGAAAGAGTTTGCAAAAGTCCACAACGTCCCCTCAGCAAGGCTGTGGCATCACACGGCCATCAGTTATTCAGTCCAACTGAAAGTCGCTACTCTCCGACCAACCACTGTACAGAACAAAAATCTGCCGCTTAGTGTTCAAGGAGATGCAGTGGCTCCTGTGTCTTTCAGGGGCTTCAGTGAGGCTCAGCCCAGACTGGCGACCGATTGGAGTGGTGTGGGTGACCAAATGAGGGATGAATGGGCGTGGGAGTGGGCAACATGTGTCCAGAATGGCTGAAGGGGGGGAGGTGACCCATATGGGCCATGTGGCTGGTGAGGCCATGCCCAGCGCCAAAGGGTGAGGCCTTGTCCTGCATACACTTGGAGAGCTCATCAAAGCCATCCCCTGCCCGTTTGTTCCTCTTGGACTTGCTGGACATCTTGCGGTTTCGCGTCTGGATGCCTTCCTTCTTCATGGTCAAGGGTCTGTTGACCTGTTGAAAGCAGCACATTAGCTCATGGCACAGCAAACAAAAGCCGCTCTGAAAGTGTGAATGCTGCATTATTGCAGGTCAAGGTTGTTTTGCTGTTAACTTCAGCTGAAAATGTCACTTGGAATCTCTCGCTCCTTGCACTGCCAATTATCATGTACATATATTTCTGTCATGGCAGTTGCCTTTAATGAATAGGACCAGTAAAAGATAAACCCAATAAATAAGGAGCAGCTGTTTTGCATATCCACCCTGCTGCATTCTGAAGCCAGTCATGGGCGTTTTTTAGCTTTTGTCTAATTGTCTGAACCCAACAGAACCTTCCCGGTCAATATGAATTCATGGGGATGAGGACAGGCTGGGTGTGAAAGGAGCAGCCTCAGACAAATCCTCATCAGTGTAACCGACGCTGTTACACTGAATGACAGTCCCACCCGGCAGCCTCTCCGGGGAGTAACGCCCCCCATTGAAACAACGACGGATTTATAAAAAGAGATGACCGGTGTGGGTTCTGCACGACAGGGTGAGCAGGCTCTGCTTGCAAACTCCTAAATCGATACACGCTGTCCGCCCACTTAGCCGGTTAAGTACCACCTTCACCCCAAAAAACTCCACACTCGGAGGGAAGGCTTTGTGAGTGTATATTTGTGTGTTTTCTCTCTAAGCTCACTTACGTTGTGTAATTTAAAGTAGAGGCCGCAGGCATTACACACTGGGTCACCATTCCCGTTGCGCCTCCACAGGGTGGTGGTGGTGGTCTGGCAGTTTGCACAGCAGGTGCCTGCACGTCTAGCAGCCGACTGAAAAACACAAAAAGAGAGAACGTAAACATCCCAAATAAAGCTTCATGATGATGTTATGAACAGGTCAGGATGGACACAGCACCCCAGGGCAAAACTTTGATAGATAGATAGAAAAGGCAACTGTCGGTTCTCTAAAGCAGTTGTTCCAACCTGCAAAAAAGCAGCGAACTTGTGACCCCAACTTTAAGCTGACTGTACAAGGATTAGTAATAAGTAATCTAAACATCACTGATGCTTAACTAGTATATCCAATTTATTTATAAATGCTGCTATATCTTTTGATATCAAATTAGGAATCTTTCTTCTTTTCTACAAGTTCTGAAGAGGACCCTCATTTGTTGCTTTGTGACCCCAAATGAGGTCTTGACCCCAATAAAAAAAATAAAAAAAACTGATCCACAAAGAAGCTGAAAAATGTCTGAAAAAATGATTGTTAAAAAGACATGTTTGAACATGACTGGGGATGGTCGCCTATCCTGACTTTCCTGAGCTTTATGCTGAACTTAGATGGAAGTGATAGATAAAAGCCAGGATAAGCCCACCTTAAATGCCAATAAAATAGACAATCTTGAATGTCTATCTGTAGAGTCTCATTTAGACACTGCATCAGTTTATCCAATTAGGTTATATTATTTTTTTATCACTATTATTGATAATATTACTGTTACTAGCAACATATGCATACAAGTACAATACTTTTTCTGTCTGCTTTATCAAATACTATAACAAATATCAGGGTTCGGATACCCTAATTGCCAATCTCATCCTTTTACGCACTTGGTGAATTTTAAGGCAATTTCTGAAATCATTTTATTGTTTATTATATTGAAATGTAGCAATGTGACATCAGTGAATAAGTCCATTCTGCTGAGAGGTCAGTGGCCTATGTCATATTTCATAAGTCAGCTGATCCAAAATGGATCAGAATCACTCTTAGTTTAAATAAGATTTATTGCAGATTTGGAAAATAATGGTCCAAGATTTTTTTCTTTAAAAAAAGAAAAAAATATATATATATCTTTAAAATTCAGCAAGCGCTGAAAAGAGAAGTCCGCCATTATGCAGTGGTTAAAGACATGGGAAATAAATGGCTTTTTTTTACAGCCAGCAGATGTGAGGAAATAGCACCACAGTTATGAAACTGCGATACAAAAATTCACATGAAAATGTATCTACAACATGCTCCTCAAATATCCGCATATATTTCCTACGTTCGGCTGCAGGTAATGCGTGCATTGCATGAAATATCCGGTTATTACCATATTGTAAATGGAAGAGCTGGTTCGGACCCGGTGTGGGCCCAGATCCAGGAAAAGTTGCTCTACAGGTTGTGTAAGTAGAGCTGGTGTCCTTCCCGACAATGCGCTCTCGCATCCATTGCGGATCAATTCTCCACGCATAATGAGAAACATTAAGCAAACGCGCACGAACCCCTCCGGTTTTTTTTTTGCGCTCTTTTTCTGCAAGGAGCGTCCAGGTTTTTCCCCTCTAATTAATTTCAGGTGGGTTGGCGCACATTTAGGCAACATCCTCTTTTCCACTACTTATATATATATATTTATAATTTAAAAATAACAACAACTGCCTATTAACATTTTACCGCTGTCCACAGAGAATGACAAACAGGAGGAGGACCATAAATCCATTTATTTTCCAATGGCCGCCCGTCTCTTCACACATAAGCGGCTCCTTCAGTGTTGTGATAATCTCTTTTACAGTATATGTCAGCCGCGGCCGTAGAGAATGCTGCGCGCAGGGTGAAGGCGGAAACAGCCGGGAGCCTGA